TCTTGCCATTTGCAACAGCATGGATGGCTTTAGAGGGTATAATGCTCAGCAAAATAAATCAGAGGAAGACAAATACCATAAGATTGCACTTGTGTGGAATTTAAGAAACAAAATAAAGGAGGGAAAAGAGACAAACCAAGAAACAGATCCTTGACTCTAGAGAACACACTGATGGTCACCAAAGGGGAGGTGGTTGGGGGGTTGGATTAAATAGGTGATGATGGAGATTAAGGAGTGCACTTGTCATGGTAAGCACTGGGTGATGTATAGAATTACTGAATTGCTATATTATATACCTGAAATTAATATTAACACTTGTGTGTTAACTATACTGGAATTTAAAATTAAAACAAAACAAAAAACACTGAGCCAAGAGGAAGAAGGCAGCCATTTCCTAGCCATACCGCCTTGGCCAGGTCAGTTGATTCCTCTGAGCCTGTTTCCTCATCTGTAAAATGGGATTCGTAATACCTGTCACATGGTGATGTGAGCCCTTCTATAAAACCATGTATGTGAAAGTGTCTTGTATGGAGCCTGACAGGTAAAAAGTCCCTGATGAAATAGTTTGGGGCCTGCATGCTTCAGACAGGAGGCCACAGTACCCGAGATTTCTGTGATTTTGTGGAATATTTGTGCATGTCAAATCTGAAAACAACAACAACAAAAACAACAACAAAAACCACTTCTTTTTATTAATCTTCCAGGAACTGGAACATAATTTTTTTTCGTTAGTACATTCCTGTGTTGCTTTGTCCGTTCCTGGCTCTCTCTCTCCGTCTGACTCAGGAAGTGCGTTTTTACATTCTTTTCGGCTGATACAATTACAATGCAGTGATTCCCAAGGTAATAGAACAACACTCTCTCTCTGGCTCTATTTTATCTTTCTTCTTTTTTCCCCCTTGACAACAGAAAGCTGCTTTTTTTCCCCTTCCCTCCAGAAAAGAAGCGACATCACTCTGTCAATGTTAATTCTGCAGAAATGGAGCCACTAAAATAGAAAGAGGGGGAAAATTGGCAATAGCTAGAAATGAGAAGTTGTATAGCATTTATTTGGTTGAATGTATTTCAGGAATACCGATACTATGAATTATTGGCAATGATCATCTCCGTGGTCAATGCTCATTTCTAAAATAATTCTCTTTTCAGTGCATGCAGCAGCAGATTGGCTTCATCGGTAGCTCTAGTCCTTTTTGCCCTGTAACTTTGCTGTTCCCCTCACTAAAAGGATGGAGCCTGATAAGCCATCTCTTGCATTTGGACTTGGTCATGTGACTTGCTTTGATCTATGGGATGTTAGCACCATGATAAAAGTAGAAGCTTTAAAAAGTGCTGTTGTGTTTCTACTAGTTCTTTTGGACTCCTAACCTCATCATGAAAACCAGCTTGGGCTAGCCCATTAGAAGGGACAGCCAAGGCTGTTCTAGACCATCCAGCTGGGATAGGTGACTCACAAGTCTGTGAACAAAAATAGATGTTGACTGTTGCAAGCCATCAAAGTGTTGTGGTTTGTTCTACAGCAATAACTAACTGATATAGTGTATTTGCCTAAAATTTCAGTGCTTGGGGATGACCCATGCTTTCTCCAACTGAAATGATGGACAAATTACTGTAGTTCAAGCCCCACTGATATTATAGTCAACAGCCTGGAAAAGTCGTTTGAAATCCCCATTCAAGATAAACTACCCTTTAATTGTTCCCTGAATATAACCTGTGCATCCCTGCCTTTGTATCTTTGTGCGTTGCATTTCTCCCTCCTGGAATATCCTTCCCTCCCTCCTCTGCCTATTTGAATCATACCAGATCCCCCAAACACCTACTTAAAACCAGCTTTTTCTGAATGACCTATGGCTGCTCTCTGCCTACAGAAGCCTCTTCGGCCTATTAACTCTTAGGATATTTTTTCTCTGAGCCACAAATTGGATACTCAACATACACTGCCTTATTTGGTTACTCTTTCTTCCTTTCTTCTTCCTCTCTGCCCCCCCCCATCTTTCTCCCTTCCTTCCTTCCTTCCTTTCTCTTTCTGTTTCTCTAACAAATACATACACATTCACACACACATGTGATAAAGCACATATGGAAAAATGTTAAAAATTGTTTGAATAGGGTAGCCCTGGTGGCGCAGCGGTTTAGTGCCGCCTGCTGCCCGGGGTGTGATCCTGGAGACCCGGGATCGAGTCCCACATCAGGCTTCCTGCATGGAGCCTGCTTCTCCCTCTGCCTGTGTCTCTGCCTCTCTCTCGCTCTCTCTGAATGAATAAATAAATCTTTAAAAAAATTGTTTGAATATAGGTATAGGTTTGTGGTGATTTTAAAATACCTCCATGGATTCTTGACAGTCCTTTCAAAAAGCATAGCCTTGGGGCACCTGGGTGGCTCAGATGATCGAGCATCTGCTTTTGGCTTGGGTCATGATCTCCAGTCCTGAGATCGAGCCCCATGTCAGGTTCTGGGTCCAGTGGGGAGTCCGCTTCTCCTTCTCCCTCTGCCTCTCCTGCTCATGCTTGCTTGCTCTCTGTACCTCTCTGTCTCAATAAATATACTCTTTAAAAACAAAACAAAAAGCGCAGCCTGATTTCCTTCCTCTTGAGTGTGAGCTGGACTTAGTGATTCATTTTTAACAAATAGAATAGGGTGGAAATGATAGTGTGTAGACTAGACCACAGAAGGCACTGCATCTTCCATCTTGGTCTCTGTCTCTTGGATCACTCAATCTGGGGGAAGCCAGCTGCCATGTTGTGAGGACACTCAAGTGTTGCTGTGGAGAGGCCCCCGTTGTTAGGAGCTCATGCCAACTGACTCCTGTTTCTTATCTATGGTTGTATATTAAGCTAGATTCAAGTTTCTGGAGAGACTGACTCATCTTCCATTTCTCTTATCCCCAAGCCTTGCATTGTACCTTGAAAAGGGTAGTTACAGAGCTTTTCACTAAAGACATTAATATTCATAGTTTGACTGACCTTGGAGGGCTAATTGTTAGGTATCATCACTAATAATAAATCCTCAGGGGAAGAAAGTTAGAAGTTAGAGGCTTCCAGACCTGAATGTATTGAAGGTTACCCTACTCTACTATAATGGCCACTGGGAAAATAAGCCCTGTGTTAAGATTGGCCTGATGTCCCATTCCCAGATCAGCTATGCTCTCTCCCTCCTTCAAATGTCCATACCTCTTTATCTGTATTTGTTCTGGATGACCTCACCCGACTTACCTTGTGTGATAGCCAGCCATGCTCCTGCTTGTCCCCCCACCCAAAATGCTCCACCATTCCAGACAGAAGATGCTAAGATCAGAGGCTACACTCTAATTCCAAATCTCTAGCTATCCCTCCACAATATTTTAAATGCCCTAATTCAGGACCTTATCACTTATATGGAGGACTACAAAAATCTTATAACCAGCCTTCCTGCTTCTAGCCTTGTCTCTCTCTCCCTCATTTTTCAACCAGTTAGCAATACACAACATGGAATTCAATTCAAAGGGAAAACCAATCAGGCATTCTCCTCCTAAAGAAGAAGGGTGGAGGACCTCAAAAGCTCCCCTCATCTATGGAATAAAGGCCAAGGTCCTAGGTCTGGCATGCATGGCCCAGTAAGATCTGCCCCAGCCTACCTCTATGGACCCTGCTCCTTTCATACCAGCCCCAAACTGTATTCCAACAGGAGAGCATGGCTAGTGCATCATTATCCACGCTAGGCTGCTTCTTCCTCAGCTGTACTGCCCCACCCCCTTCTTCCCTAGTTGTCTCATTTGGCCTAGACCAGCCCAGCCTGGTCTTCCCTCTTGCCCACCCAATTTTTCCCACTTCCTTCAGGGACTGCCTTGATGACTGTCTTTGCAACATTGCATTGTGATTCTCTGATTAAGTGCAAGTTTCCTGAGAACAAGGACTGGGTTGCTGACATCTTCATATGTGCAGAACTTACCCAAGCACCCAGCATATAGAAGTACTAAAAAATTGGTGAATGGATGGATGGAGCAGGAATCGGCCTGAAACGGTGGCCTGAAGCACACCAGTTTATTACTGACCTATCTAGATGTAGCCTTGACCTAGGGAACCAATGTCTTCATTGAACCCCTCCTGGTATGATCTTGTCTTCCAGGATTAGATAGGATTAAGTTGGCTGGGGTTCAGTCCCAACTGTTATATTTAGGCATCTACTCGCCATTCATGGTGCCAGGCCCATCTTGGACAGGTGAAGACTCACTTAAATGTCACATGATGGCAGCTGACATTCACTGAGCACTTACTATGTACCAGGTACCATTCTTTTTTTTTTAAGATTTTATTTATTAATGAAAGACAGAGAGGGGCAGAGACATAGACAGAGGGAGAAGCAGGCTCCATGGAGGGAGCCCGATGTGGGACTCAATCCTGGGACTCCAGGATCACGCCCTGAGCCAAAGGCAGATATTTAAGTGCTGAGCCACCCAGGTGTCCCACCAGGTACTGTTCTAAGTGCTTTGCATTAATTCATTCATTCAACTCACACAGCAGTCTGATGGGGATACATCCTCTTAGTATCTCCATTTTACAGATGAGGGTTAATAACTTTTCTAAGATCACTCAGCAATTAAAAATAGGATCTGCATGCAAACCCAGGCAGCCTGGCTCCAGAGACAGTCACCATTACCATCTCCTCGTGTCTCCCACGTTTTGTGTTTTCCAGGGGCCCTTCTTACATTTCATAGTTCTCTCTCCCAAGAGGGAAGGAGAGGTAAGGGCTAAGAAGAGAATGTTACTGCTTGATTTTCTATTTATTTGGTTTACCTTCATTTCCTCATGATTGTCTAATGATACATACTTAGCCTAGACAAGGCCCATCTTTTCTTATTTGTCTGTACACACTTACCCATGAAGATCACTCACTTTTCTCACTCAGATTCAAGTGATTAGCCAAGAACCGTATGATGCAAATGGTTTTTCTCTTTGCAAGCTGTCTGTGTTTCCCAGTGCACTGAAAACCACACTATTGCTTCCTCTTTGCATTTGTAGCAAGAACACAGCTTTTGCCGCTCAGTGTCTGAGCAACTTCAGTGACACCACGAGGAAAGGTCTGTCCTGGCCCAAATGGCACACATCCCACGTGTGGCATCTTTCTTTCTTTTTCTGAGTAAGTGTCATCATTCTCCCTGTCTCTTATCCCAGGAGCTAGTCAACAGGAGGCTGTAGGGTGGCAGAGCAGGACAATTTGGTATTTACAGGAAAAACTATGCCACTCATCTCTGGTGTCGGCAATAATTTTTGACTTTCTGATAGAAGTTGCATGGTTTACCTTGGCATCCTTGAGTTCTAGGGTGGTGCAATGCTTGGTTGAGTCTGTGAACCCATGGATTTTTACAGATGTGTGTTGCTAGATCTGCTAGTTTTGCTGGCCCTGCCTCAACCTTATCTCCTTGGGCTAACCCATCCCTGGCACCAGTGAGGGCTCAGCTCCCCCAGCCTGAGAGGTGACCTTGTGTTTTGTCTGATGTGTTTGCCTTGAGGATGTGGCTGGATGGAAGGGAAAGTTCTAAAAGCCCTTAGAGGTTTTAGGTTAAGCTAACAGAAGGTTCTGGATGTCCCTGGGAGCTGAATTGGGAATCAGCTTGAGGATTGAGAAGGGCCAAGAAGATTTGCCGGGCTCTGCTAAAGGGCATCCAGAGGGGTCTTAGCTGGCCCAGGAGCAGGGTGGAGGAAGGAGAGATTTGGAGGTAGACAGGAGAACACATGGCCTGGGCTAGAAATGGAATTGTTCCAGAGCAAGTAGCAGGTACTGTTTTGGTGCTGTGCATGCCTTAGCATCTGGTGAGGACTATGGATCCCACCTTAGAATAATTTTTTAAATGCCTAAAATAAAATGCATGGGATTATAGGGGAAATCCGTCATACTGGAATGCAATCATCAAAATAGTTTTAAATAGTGATGTAATCATTTATTTGCTTCTTTACAAATTCCATAACAAGATCTAGACGTGGTCTGTTAACCACCAAACTTCCAGGGAATAAGGGATATGAATCATATATCAAGATATCTGCAACAACTATAGTGTGATGTGAAAATACCTAATGGCTTGTTGTCCACAATCAGGACTGAAGGAAATACTAAATTTTCATTAAGACTAATGAAAAATAAAGGTGTAGGGGGGGGGTTTCCCCTCTACATTTATGAGCCATAAATTCCCCTCGAATTTATGGGCTTTTTAATCCCGTGTGTGGCTCAGGTTAAGAACTTCTGTCAAGGGCAGCCCCGGTGGCGCAGCGGTTTAGCACCGCCTACAGCCCGGGATGTCATCCTGGAGATGAGATCGAGTCCCATGTCGGGCTCCCTGCATGGAGCCTGTTTCTCCCTCTGCCTGTGTCTCTGCCCCTCTATCTCTGAATACATAAATAAAAAATCTTAAAAAAAAAAAAGAACTTCTGTCAAGACTAAATGGAATCGGTGTGGGGACTCAAGTGACTGGAAAGGTAGGGGAACTAAATGAATTTATCATCAGTGTGGCCAGAGCTGTGGCTAACGCATAAAGAGGCGACAGCCTTCAGCACAACATTGGCTCGAATTGAACTGGGCTTGTGTCTCAGCAGACATTAGATCATGTGAGATAAGGATCCGATCTAGGGCCTGATAGGGTGAGAAGTGGCCTGCAGGGTTAGTTAGGAGGACTGGTTAGTTGCTGGGTGAGGGATGCCCACCAGACTGGCTTGGCAAGCACTGATGGCCTGGAGGATTGGTGGGATCTTCACTGGCTGGTACATTCCTATTTGCCCTGTTCACTATTGAGTGTGAGTCTGCCTGTCTCTTTCTTTCTCTCTTTCTTTCTCTTTCTTTCTTCCTGTCTTTCTTTTTTTCTTTGAATATGATTCTTAAGTGCACGTGTTTTGTGTATTTGGACTGTGTGTTTGGCTTGTGTATAGGGGAAAGCAGGGTGTATTGTGCAATAAATCAGACACTGCAAAGTCTCTCTCTCTCTCTCTTTTTTTTTTTTTTAAATTCTGGTGAGCAGGCTAGAAGGCTTAGGTGAAGGCAAGTTGTAACCAGGTTCAAAAAAAGAAAGCTGGAAGCTTTTCCTTAACCCACATAAACAATTATCCAAACTGAGGCATGTATTTATTTCTTCTAGGTTCTGACTCACCCTAAAGCACTAATTTTGTATAGAACCACAGTTTTTATGTGAAGAGCTCATAAATCAGGAAGTGACTTGAAAGGACTTTGGAAGCCTGCTGTCTTTCCTTACAAACATGGAGGGAAAATTATAAATAAGGGAGGAACTTAAATGCTGATCAATTGATGGGTTACATTGTTTAGCAAAGGTGTACTTTGTTAATTTTTTTTAAAATTTTTATTTACTTATGATAATCACACAGGGAGAGGGAGAGAGGCAGAGACACAGGCAGAGGGAGAAGCAGGCTCCATGCACCAGAAGCCCTACGTGAGATTCGATTCCGGGTCTCCAGGATCGCGCCCTGGGCCAAAGGCAGGCACCAAACCACTGCGCCACCCAGGGATCCCAATTTTTTTTAAATAAACATAAAGACTGATTAATTTTGTTAGAACATGGTGCTGGAAGAGGTTAATATTATGGGTAAATGAGCTCTTGGACTTAGGACTCAGCTTTGCCTTCCTGATCTGGATCTGTCACCCCTCACCCTGACTAGCTGCCCTATATGTAAAAACCACTAATGTGAGAGGGTGCTAGGGGGGACCGATTTTTTTTTTTTAATTTTACCATGACTGTATTCGTAGAAGAAAATTTTTTTGATTAGAAGCTCTCTCAGCCTTCAAGGGCATAGGGATTTTCTAAGTGTAAAGAAAGGGATGTTGCTTGTTATGTCTGTAGTTCTCCAGGTAGGTTTTGTATGAGATGGAATGATCCGAAGTTGCTATTTTTGTGGATCAAGAAAGGTCAGTTATGGGCCATTTTATATCATCCAACCTTAACAGCTTCCATTTAAATAATATAACAGTAAATTTGGCAACTATTGAGATGCCTGGGTGGCTCAGTGGTTAAGCATCTGCCTTCGGCTCAGCTCGTGTTCCCGGGGTCCTAGGATCGAGTCCTGCATTGGGCTCTCTGCACGGAGCATGCTTCTCCCTCAGCCTATGTCTCTGCCTCTCTCTGTGTCTCTCATGAAAAAAATAAAAAAAAATCTTTAAAGAAAAAAAAAAGAAAAGAAAAAAAGCCAGTACCACCTGAGAAAAGTGTGGCCCTGGTATGGTGTGTAGGTGCCCAGCATTGTGTCCATCAGTCAGTGAGAATTTGAGCTGCTGTGCAGAGATCTCTAACCCTCTGTCCACTGGAAGAAAAGCAACAGAACAGTCCTCTGAATTATTTTACTTCTTAGGAGGAGAGATAGGTACAACATATCCCATAGGGAATATCTTGATAAAAGATGCTTCAGCATATGGTCCCAATGCATAGCCTTTTGAATTGATCTCTGTCAACCATTCCTTTCCACACCAAAAATACCCATGAAACTTCCACACTGTTGCTTTACTTCTCTGAGGAAGCAGTACCTTCCCCCTCCTGTTCTTGACCTCATGCCTCTACCAGGACTTTCCTCCGTTCGTTATCCTGTTGTCATCCTCATCTCCCCTCTCAGCTCCTCTTGCCATCTGCCACCCTATTCTGTTTCCCATCTCCACAAAACTTCTTGGAGTCGTTTAGCCCTCCTACAGTCACTTCTTATCCTTGAAATCTTCTGCTTCTGGTCTTTTGAAACCTCTTGTACAAAGATCTCCTCCTATATCCTCCTCATCAAGCTGAAAGAACCGTCCCCCCTGCCTTTGGGTCCTTACCCTCATAGCAGCGTCCAGCAAACAGACAAGCCCTTCTGTGGAACATTTTTCCTCCTTTGGCTTCTACGCACCTGTGTCCTGGCCACTCTCCTATCTCCCTTGCTCTTCTTTCTGGGTGTTCCTTATCCTAGCCCCTAAATACAGAGACCCTCTCATAATCTCTCTTTAGCCTTCCCCCTTGTATTCCCTAACACTGCCCAGCACTGGAACTGACCTAATCCACACCCATGGCCCAGAACCCTCTGTGGTTATAAAAAGGTGCTCAGAGCAGTGAGAAACAATGGAGACAGCCAGGGATTTCACATTTGCAGATTTAGGTTCAAGAGCAGCTCAACCAATTACAAGTTTGACATTGCTAAATGTGGGACTAACACAGAATTCTTAAAAAGGATTAGACCACAGAGATTTTCAAAGGGTTGAATAGACTTGAAAGTATATATATATATACTTTTTTATATATATATCTATATATATATATATATACTTTTTTTAAAGATTTATTTATTTATTCATTCAGAGAGAGCGAAGACAGAGGCAGAGACACAGGCAGAGGGAGAAGCGGACTCCATGCAGGAAGCCCGATGTGGGACTCGATCCCAGGGCTCCAGGATCACACCCCGGGCTGTAGGCGGCGCTAAACCGCTGTGCCACCAGGGCTGCCCTATATATATATACTTTTTAAAAAATATTATTTCCCAGTGTTTGCTGGCTGTCTTTCCTGTTTATGGTATTCAAATTTAGTATTTTCAAAAGCAAATGCAGTATCTTCTCCCTCACCCTTGAACACAGCAGTCTCTTCCTGATACCCTTATTTCTTTTTTTTTAAATGAGATTGTATTTATTTATATATTTATTTATTTAGAGAGTGAGTGTGAGGGTGGAGGGGCAGAGGGAGAGGGAGAGAATCCCAAGCAGACTCCAAGCCCAATGCAGACTCCATCTCTCGACTCTGAGATCATGACCTGAACTGAAAGCAAGAGTTGGCCACTTAACTGATGGAGCCCCCCAGGTGCCCCATAATACCCTTATTTCTGTTAACAATATCATTATTCTCTCAGTCAGCCTCACAAAACCTGCCATCATTTTTTATTTCTTCCTGCCTTCCCTTTCTCCATCCACCCCTTCTACTACTTCCTAGCATCTGAGATCCTGAAAAACTCTCTAGATTTTATCTCGATGGTGGCTCTTTGCATTCCGATTATGGTCATCATTTCTCTCCTGGGCTACCATGGTTTTCTGTCACATTAATTTTCCTGAGACTTTTCCAACACTTATAGTGGATTCCCCATCGCCCAATTAGTCAAGTCCAAACTTTTAAACCTGACTACATGGTTTGGGCCCCAAATTCCTATCCAGCCTTACCTCCTTCTATTCGTCTTCATGTAACCCTTCCCCTAATCCAGTTTATCACTCCCTAATTGCTAAACAGGTCTTTTGATTCCTAGCCATACAATCGTGTCATAAAGTCACCCCACTTAAATCATCATAATTTTTCTGACGCTCCAAATTCCACTTCTCATCCTGTCTCTTCCATAAACCTTTTGTGTTTCCCTCCCCTAAAAGTGCAATCTCTCCTTCCCTCAGATTCCTTAAAGCACTTTTATCATCTCCCTGACATGGAGATATGACCATCACCCTGCCTTACTAAAATTTTAAAATCATGAAGTCAAAAACTATCCCAAGCTCATTTTCACGTCTTAGTTTCTGAACCATCAGAAATACAAGTTGTTGAATAAATATTTATCAAATTGGCAAATAAAGCAGTAGAAAATGGAGTGCTAGTTTTCACAATAAAATATTTCACATGTGGTACCTACCTTTTAAAGTTATGTAAGATGTTGAACAAGTGTTGCCTAGCCACCAAAATAGCATTGTGGTCACATACCCTGTTAGAAATAGGTTAGTGGTACCTCAGAAACCATATTTCTATAAACATTTTTATTGTGGAATATAACACAAAAGAAAAGGTAATAAAACATAAACATGGAGATTAGCAAATAAGTAAAAAAAGTAAGAACCATGTAGTCACTATCCAGGTCAAGAAATAGAACATTGCTAGGACCCTAGAAGCACCCACCCACTGTGCTGTGTGCCCCATCCAGATTACAACCCTCCTCCCTGACGCACAATCACTGTCCTGACTCCCATGATAACCACTTCCTACCTTTTCTTCTTTTTTAAGTGATTTTATGTTTGTATTTATTAAATAATGCATTGTGGTTGTGCCTGTATTTAAATATTTATAAAGGACTGGAATCATTCTACATATCGTCAAAAAGATTCTCCATATACTGCATCTTTCAGCACAGTCATCCACGTTACAAACAGTTGCGATTCACTTTCATTTCTGTGTAATATTTCATTTTATGGATGTGCCACAGTTTGTTCTGCTGATGGACATACAAGCAGTCTCAAGATGGGGGATATGATGAACGGTGCTGTTGTGGGTATTCTTTCACACATAGCTTGGTGCACAGTGCACACAGTTCTCTAAGATATATCTGAGTCTAACCAGCGTTGCCGAAAATGTTTTAAGTTGCCTCTGTTGGATAATTGTTTGGTAAGTAATAAGTCACATTTTTCCTATATGTGCCTCAGTATTAGAAGAGCATAATATAATTACATCACATTAACTTGGATGTATGAATCAGTTGGCGTATTTTAATTATTATTGGAAATGTGTGTGGTTGGTGGGATGTTTGTTTTTCAGTTTTGCATTGAACATTCAATAGGCCAGTTTTAGTGGGTTGCCTCAGATGACCACTCACCCTTTCTCCCCATATGTTGTAGGCCCCCCTTCTATCAGAATTGTTTCCGTTCCAAAATTCCCATCCCCCACCTTATGGTCTCTGTAACATCATTTTTCCTTTTTCTCGCTTTTTTTTCCCCTTCTACTCTCCTTTACTTGCTGTTCTTGTGGGTTTGCAAAAGTCAGCAGATACCCTGCTTCTTCCCTACCTTCTTATGAGTTCTATTCTGTTCATTCCACAATACCAGCGGTTGCTCCCTGGCGGTGGGGGTGGGGTGGGGTGGGGGGGGAGGACTCTTCTGATGTCTTTCTTGTCCTCTTCCCCTTCCACTGGGCCCCAGATTGGGCTCACCCATTGGCATCTCTGTTATTTGCTCTTTGTTCTTTCTGTGGCACAAACTAGTCTCTTATATCAGCCGGATCCATAAACACATGCCTTTCCATTTCTGCAAGCTGCTTGATTTTGAACACGTGCACTTCAAAGAAAATGTTGCCAATTTGATCATGTTTTCTCCTTTAAGCCCGATGCTTGAGATTTGTCTCAACAGGAGACAGTCCAGAGCAATCCCAACTGAAAACTTTCAGTCAGAGAAGAACTGAAAGGGACTCTGAGGCCAGATCCTGGTGGACTTGACTGGCTGGCTTTTACAAAGCTTTTCGATGAAGCTGTGGTGGCTCTTGAAGAAAAATGACAAAACAAAAAACCCTCCACGGTATAGAAAGGAAGTGCTGCTGTCTCTCTGGATGCTAATTTTAGCTAGTCCTGCATTTAGACCTGGCCAGGAGCTACAAATAGTTCCAGCCAACTAGCAAGACAAAGAAAGCGCAGCATCAGAGGCAGTGGGTAGATTTCTCTTCTCCACAATCTCGGAGAGAACTGTCTGACAGGTACCCAGGAATTTGCTGAATTGTCCTAGAAAATAACATAAAAGGTGAATTTCCTTATGTAGTATTGACTTTCAAATAAGTGCCCTTAGACAACACCGGGCGCTAAGTATTAGCAGGTGTAATAGCCCTAATACTGTTGAAGCTAACCTAAGAGGCTAGGAATTATTACAGAAGTTCAAGTCCTAAAAGAGCAGTGAATTCATCAAGCGATCCCACCGTGCCTCAGCCTGAAGGAGACATCGAACATTCGAGTCAATCATAGCTAATAACCTGTGATCTCATTTACTAGAACTCTTCATACAGGGAGCTGCAGAAGGGGGCACACTGGGGACTGGAACACAAATCTCTTTTGATTCCCCTTTCTCTCTTTCCTCTTTGCAAGCTAAGCTCAGCCTTGGCCAGAGAGAGGTAACCATCCAGAGAGGACCGCTGTACCGGGCTGAGGGCTACCCCATCAGCATTGGCTGCAACGTAACTGGCTACCAGGGCCCTTCGGAGCAGCATTTCCAGTGGTCTGTTTACCTGCCCAAAGCCCCGACCCAAGAAGTCCAGATCGTGAGCACCGTGGATGCCACCTTCTCTTATGCAGTGTATGCGCAGCGGGTGAGAAGCAAGGGGATCTATGTGGAGAGGGTCCGGGGCAACTCGGTCTTCTTGCACATCGCAAAGCTCCAGTTGAAGGACTCTGGCGAGTATGAGTGTCACACGCCAAACACAGATGAAAGATACTACGGCAATTACAGCGCCAAGACAAGGCTAATTGGTAAGCTGCCTGCCCCCCTGTTCTTGCCAGCGTCCCCCCCACGCCTTGCAGTGTGACGTGGCTTTCCGTCGTGTCCTTGCTTTGGCAAGAGAGCCCTCATCACCCTCTGGATATGTTGCAGAAGGGGCACAGATCGGTATCTCCCATTCTCTAAATGTTCATCTTTCCAGTCACCTTTGCCCTGGGAATTTAGATGGTGTGTGTGGTCTAGGCCTGTCCACAGCTAGCCACAGGGTGATCGTAGCAACAGCATCAGACAAAACTCTGGGAGTTCTCCCCATGTCATCTCTTCTGGAGGCAGAACGTGAACTTGGTAATATGATCAGTGGTAAGTCACTCGCTTGGAAATGATTATCCACAAACTAGTAATGTCCAACATATTTACATAGAGAGAGAGGGTCATAATCTTTGTAGTTAGCATTTTGTCCCCTTGCCTAGAATATCTTAGCACCTCTTTCTCAGTCTAGCCAACTCCTACCTATACTTGTACCCAGTTTAGGTTTTACTTCTGTGAAATCTGTCCAGATGGTCTCAGTGCATATTCCCCTTCTTTGTTTCCTCTTGATCCTCTATTCACATTGCTATTATTAGCGCTCACCCGGTTGATGTGGTATTTGGCTACTTACAGGACTCCTACTTCACCCCAAGGAGAACAGTTAGGAGAACATGAGAACAGTTATCTCGGCCCCAAGCACAGTGGCTAGCCCTGAGTAGCTGCTTAATAAATACTTACTGATTGAATCTAAGTGCTGCCTTCCCATAAGCTTGGGCTTGGAGGAAGAACACAATGAGATGGTAGTAGGATGGTTGTCAAAACTTTGGTGAGGGCTGCATTTTGGCTCTGAATGGCAGATTGTAAGGGATTATTGCAGAATTTTACAAATAATCAGGTTAAGGTGTAAGGAAGTGAAGTGACTTGCTCCAATTCCTGTAGTCAAGTAGGGACAGATTTAGGATCAGAATCTAGGTCTTCTAGCTCCCAGTGCTCTTCCCTTTTAAATACTCTGTGTCTGAACAGCTAAATTGGTCACAACCTATGGTAAAAATGTAAAGTCAGGGTCAGTACACCACTGAGCCATTAGTTTTGCCAAGTCCCATGGACTATGTACACAGATGCCAACATTCCTCTTGGGGGTAGGGAAAGCATATGGCTGGTTGAAGAGCAACTCAAAGTATGTGCTTTACGGACGGTGGGTCAGGGCGCCATCCTTATCCAAGGAGGTTTGTCTGACAGCTTATTGGGCCAGTCAGTTATCATTCCTTTGTTTCCAGTTATTCCAGATACCCTCTCTGCCACCATGAGTTCCCAGACTTTTAATAAGGAGGAGGGTGAATCATTGGAACTTACCTGTGAAGCATCCAAAGCCACAGCTCAGCACACTCACCTCTCTGTCACCTGGTACCTGATGCAGGATGGAGAAAGAAGCCAAACTACCAAGATTATTTCCCTCTCCAAAGATTTCACGTTGATCCCTGGGCCCTCATATACAGAGAGGTTTGCGGCTGGTGATGTACTGCTCAACAAGCTTGGAGTCGCTACCTTCAGGCTCTCCATAGGGAGGCTCCAGCCCTCAGATCAAGGTCAGCTGTTCTGTGAGGCAACTGAGTGGATTCAGGATCCAGATGAAACCTGGACTTTAATCACGAGAAAGCAGACAGCTCAAACAGCTCTGAGAATCCAACCCACAGGTAAGGATCTTCTCAAGCAATTCATACTATATTGATGGTGGGTGTTTATGGGATATCTTTTGGTTTTTTCTAATCTTTTGTTGTGTCTACAAAAGATATTTAGGAAGTTTGAATACATTTTGGTTTTGGCATCTGGGAAGCATAAGTAAGAAGAGGGACATTTGGTTTCAGGCCTGTCCACAGCAGGTTTCCTATGGGATAAGATCTTCTGAATGGTTAGAGATTCCACAAGTCATGCATGAAAATGTTTTGTTATCCTCCTTGCTGAGCCCTGTGTAAGCACTTTATCTGCATTATCTACTTTATCCATATTACCTAATTTTAAGTCCTTGCTCCATAGGGCAAGTGGTCAACTCCCCATCTTTAAAACAAGGAACCTGAGCCTCAGACATGCAAAAATGCTGGTGAGAGGTAGAGCTGCTGCTCCAAGCAGGTGTGTCTCTCCAAACCGCCCACACCACAGACACCCAGGCCTCAGAGTAGCTCCAGTTTCTAATGTGGAACTTTGTCTTACTGCTGGGATTTCCTTCCACCTGACCCGATTTCCTGCTTGGGATGGTGTTACTTTTCATGATCCATTGGCATTTTCATCAAAGCAAGTGGGAAGCCTCAGCTGCCATTCCTGGTTTCTCTACACGGGCTATGGTCCAATAGGAAGAGGTTGCAAAAACCATATATTTCCATGCTAAAAGCAGTGATCCATTGGTAGATCATTGAAGATTCTTTCTTTCTTTTTTCTTTCTTTCTTTCTTTCCTATTTTATTTATTTGACAGAGAGAGAGCACAAGCAGGGGGAGTGGCAGGCAGAGGGAGAGCAAGAAGCAGGCTCCCCCACTGAGCAGGGAGCCTGATCTGGAGCTTGATCCCAGGACTCTGGGATCATGAGAACAATTTTTATATAAAACAGTCTTCATTTATTTTTACTTATTTCACAAAAACTCTATGTATTTAAGGTGCACATAATGTTTTGATATACATAGGCATTTTGCAATGATTACCACAATCAAGCTAATGAACATATCCATCATCTCACATAGTTATTTTTTGTGTGTAGTGGGTGTGTGCTTGTACGTATGGCAAGAACAGTTAAGATTTCTATTCTCAGCAAATTTCAAGAATGAAACACAGTATTATTAACTGTAGTCACCATGCTATACGTTAGATCTATAGAACTCACCTTGCGTAATGGAAACTCTGTACCCTCTGATCAATATCTCCCCCTTCCCCCTCCCCCTAATCCTGGCAACCACAATTCTACACTCTACTTTTATGAGTTCAGCAGTCTTAGATGCCACATATAAGTGAGTTCCTACAGTATTTGTTTTTCTGTGTCTGGCTTATTTCACTTAGCCTAATGTCCTTCAGGGTGATCCATGATGTTGAAATGGCAGGATTTCTTTTCTCTCATGGCTGAATAATATTTCAGTGTGCATATAATACCACATTTTCTACTTTCACCTATTCATCACTGGACCCTTAGGTTGTTTTCATATCTTTGCTATCATGAATAATAAACATGGGAATGCAGGTATCTCTTTGAGATCCTCATTTCACTTCCTTTAGGTATCTACCCGGAAGTGGGATTGCTGGATTATATGGTAGTTCTATTTTTAATTCTTGAGGAAACACCACACAGTTTGTATAGTAAACTGTGCACATCCTCCACGCTCTCACCAACACGTTATTAATTCTTCTAACCCATGAACATGGGATATCTTTCCATTTATTTGTATCTTCTTTAATTTCTTTCATCAATATTTTACAGTTTTCAGTGTCTTTCACCTCCTTGGTTAAATTTATTTCTAAGTATTTTCTTCTTTTGGGCATTATTGCAAATGAGTTTTTTTATTGAGATAAAATTAGTATATGACATTATACAAGTTTCAGGTGTGCAACATTATAATTCGATATTTGATACACTACAAGTGATCACCACCATAAGTCTAATTACAACCCATCACCATACAGTTGAGCCCCTTCACCCATTTTGCCCATTCCCCAACCACCTTCCCCTCTGGGAACCACCAGTCTGTTCTATGTCTCTATGAATTTATTTTTGTTTTGTTTGTTCATTTGTTTTGGTTTTTAGAGTCCACATATAAGTGAAATCATATGGTATTTGTCTTTCTTTGATTTATTTCACTTAGAATAATACCCTCGAGGCCCATCCATGTTGTTGCAAATGGCAAGATTTCCTTCTTTTTTATGGCCAAGTAGTATTCCTTTATGTGTGTGTGTGTGTGTATACCACATTTTCTTTCTCCATTCATCCTTTGATGGACACTTATATTATTTCCATATGTTGACTATTATAATTAATGCTGCAGTGAACATAGGGGTGAATATATCTTCTTGGTGTTTTTGTGTTCTTTGGATAAATACCCAGAAATGGAATAGCTGGATCATATGGTAGTTCTATTTTTAATTTTTTTAAAAGATTTTATTTATTTAGGAGAGAGAGAGAGAGAGCGTGCACACATATAGGAAGAGGAACAGAGTGGGGAGAGAAAGGGACAAGCAGACTCCAATATGGGACTCTGTCTCACAACCCTGAGCAGAAACCAAGAGTTGGCCACTTAACATACTGAGCCATTCAGGTACCCTATTTTTATTTATTTTATTTATTTTATTTTGAGAAATCTCTATACTGTTTTCAATATTGGCTGCACCAATTTACATTCTTAGTAGCAGTGTAAAAGTGTTCCCTTGTTGCCACATCCTCTCCAACACTTTTTATTTCTTGTCTTTTGGAGAATAGCCATTCTGACAGGTGTGAGGTGATATCTGATTATGGTTTTGACTTACATTTCCCTGAAGATGAGGGGTGTTGAACATCTTTTCATGTGTCTGTTGGCCATCTGTATAGATTGTTTTCATAATGTCTTATTCCCATATTTTGTTGCTAGTATATAGAAATGCAACTGACTTTTTTTTTTTGTATGTTGACTTTGTGTCCTGCAACTTTACTAGTATCATTAGTTTTAAGAGTTTTTTTGGTGAAGTCTTTCGGGATTTCTATATATATAAGATCACATCATCTGCAAGCAGATAATTTTACTTCATTTTTCTGACTTGAATGCCATTTATTTTTTCCCCCTAACTAATTGCTCTGGTTACGGCTTCCAGTACTATGTCAGATAGAAGTGGTAAGAGAGGACATCTTTGTCTTTTCCTGATCTTAGAGGAAAAGCTTCCAGCTTTTTATTGTGAAGTGTTATGTTAGCTGCGGACTTGTTATACATCACATGTACTTTCACTTAGGAAAATTCCACTAGATAGTCTTAGCCAAGAAAAGAGAGCAAAGAAATAATAATTTATAGCAATTCAACATATTATAAAATATTTTATATTTTTTATTAAAAAAAGATACATTATACTTTAGACTTCTATGTATACATCTTGCTTAAAGGATTGCATTCAGAAAGCTATACGCTGTTCTTTCTGAATGATTTAAAGAATAATCAAGGACATTTTTGATTCTAGGTATTTCTTTGGTTGAGCTACTCCTCAGAGCTAAACTCCCGCATGAAATTCAATCCCTCTACTGTCCTTACAGGGGGTATTATCTCTCTGTGGTTCTGAAAGGACAGATGCTGTGGCTTCTCTAAATACCTGTGTTGCTTTTGTTTCCTAGTGAGAGATTTTCAAGTCAACATTTCCGCTGAGAGCACGTTTACTGCAGGGAAATCCTTAGAACTGGTCTGCCTGGTAGTAGGTGGTGGCTGGGACCCACAGCTTCAGGGCGTTTGGTTCTTCAATGGTAAAGAGGTGGCCCGCATGGATGCTGGGGGTGTTCTGGACCTGAAGAGAGACTACAAAGAGAGAGCAATTCAAGGACAGCTCCAGGTTTCAAAGTTAAGCCCCAAGGCTTTCTCTCTCAAGATCTTCTCTGTGGGCCCAGAGGATGAAGGCGCCTACAGATGTGCTGTGGCAGAGATGGCAAGAGCTCAGATGGGTTCCTGGCAGGTGCTTCAGAGCAAGCAGTCACCAGATACCCGTGTGCATCTGAGGAAGCCAGCAGGTATGTGAACTCAGAACAAGATATGACCGGACTGCTCTCAGCTTCCCTCCTTTGTGAGTACAGGATGCCTCCATGGACACAGTGGACTTCTGAAGAGTCAGGTGTCAGCTGGATCACTTTGAGGTGGGATAGAGAAAAGCGACCAAACTAGCTGAAGACCTGAGTCTTATTCCTGGGTCCTTAAATGGGCTGTGACCGCAGGCCCAATACTTAACTTCTTTAAATCTCAGCTTCCTCAAATATGAAATAATGATGTACAGTTAGATTGTCCTTAAATCCCTTCTTGCTATCTTAGATTCTTATTTGCGATTAGTCCTCATTTTTGTTCATTGGGTTTTTCTTCAAGCAGGAAACACCTGTATTAATGAAACCCTCTGTCTTCTCTTTGTTGTCCGTGTGATATGAGTACGTGAGAATGACACTTTGCCTTCTTCCTGGGGATTAGACACCTACATTATGCCTCCCTGCCCCCCAAACATCTCTCAGATGCCTTTTTCCATCCTCTATTATCTTAACCTGATAGAGGGGATGATAGTATGTCTTAATTCTGTATCAAAGCATGACTCAAAACAAGAAATGAAGAGGCAAATGAAAGCAAGCAGACTCTATTCCCTGCATTTTGCTGTAATGTGATATGCCTCTCCAAATGGGTCTGTGTATCTGTAGGCATGAAAGTGGAAGGCCACTGGGCTCTCATTTCAAGTTTGTGAAGGTTGAATGATCTTAAATATGTTTGAACACTCAGTGCTTTTTGTGTGAAGAGAAAACAAACAAATCTACAACTAATATTAGGATGCTCTGGGCTAGGTATTATATTCAAAGTCTAGAAAGATTAATTGCCCAAAAGCACAAAACAAAACCCAACTAAAAATATAGATATCCTTGTTTCACTTGCCTATTGGAGGCATCTTCAAAGATGGATAAATTTCCCTTTCATGTTCTTCTCTGTCACCTCATTTGCTAGCAATGAAGACACACAAGCCAGGAGGTGTGTTGGTGTTCATTTTCACACTAAACATTTGGTCTAACTTTCTAGGATTCAGGAAGAACTATGTGGGTGGGTTTACATATTTACACAGAGCTAAATCTCTGCTTCATTCATCTAAATCTCTGCTGAAACATATCTGTAAAACTTTCTTAAATTCAGCATATGGGAATTTGTGCCAAACGGATGTAAAAGTGTTTTTTTTGTGTTGCACAGATCATAAGCCTATCAGTAGTGTGGTCTTCCAAACCTAAAAATAGTTCTTTGCATAGGCTGGAGTCCAAACTGGGACTAATATGTAGAAACAGAGAAAGTTATTAGCAAATTTATTAAGGATTCTTGTGAGCATTCAGTTTTGAAAGTCAAACCAAAGTATGAGCAGAGTTTTATCATGAAATTCATATTTTATGAATATTTTAAACAGAAGGGGGTACTCACTACCACTGTGAGTGTGTAACTTATACATACTTGATAAGTGTATTACTTCTTATCAAGAGGCAGTAATGACTGTAATGAACTAAGGAAACCTCATTTTTTTTCTTAAAAAAAAAAGATTGATGTTAGTTGAAACTAACCATAATGGTTTATATTCAAGTAGTGAGATTATGAGTAATAATTTCCTCTTTATTTTCTAAACTTCAGTTATGAGTCTATTTTTAACTTGAAAAAAACTTAAGTATAATCCTGCCTCCAATACCCAAAATTTGGAAGCAGTTTTGCATATACATATACATAGATATATAAAATATATATTAAGTATTATTTAAAGAATTATTATTTAATTATTTAATAGTGTTATTAAATATTTTAAAATATTAAATACATACGTTAAACTTATTTCTGGACATTGACCTTCATTCTGCCTTTGTAACTTATATACATATACACATAAAGCAGAAGATAGGACTCCTTCCTCAGCAGGGAAGAACAATTTGCAAATTCATTTAGATCCTATTTAGATTTCTCATCCCAATTCGATTTTGTTTTCTCTCTTTTGTCTTTGAACTACTTCACTTTCACTAAGTGCCTATCATTACAACCAGTGCTAATAGCCACCCTTTACTGGTTCTTTCCCTTTCCAGCCAAGCTAAGCCCTTTTGCATGTACTACTTTTAGTTGTCCCAACAATGCAATAAAGCGGGTGCTGTTATTACCTTCATAATATTCAGGAAAGAAAATCAAGGGTCATGGAGGACAACAGTATTGCCCAAAATAAATTCTGACACCCAGGACCTTGGCCTTAAACCTAAGATGCATGAGTTACTGAGGTGTCTTTGCTTTGCCCACAAAGCACCCAGGACAAAGGCTTACACAGGAAGTATCTGTTGAATGAATATTTGCATTTCTCTGTGTTTTGAATTTCCCATCTGGGAGCCAGATTTTTATTTTGTAGCTTAACATTATAGTTCAGATATAAGAAGGATCTCCCATCAACCAAATATATATATATATATATATATACGCACACACACACACACACATATATATTTTTTAAAGATTTTATTTATTTATGAGAGACACGCACAGAGAGAGAGAGAGAGAGAGGCAGAGACACAGGCAGAGGGAGAAGCAGGCTGGACGCAGGGAGCCCGACGTGGGACTTAATCTCAGGTCTCCAGGATCACACCCCAGGCTGAAGGCGGTGCTAAACTGCTGCCACCCGGGCTGTCCATATATATGTGTTTATAAATATGTATTTTATATATATGAATATGTGATTTGAAAGAGTAATATATCTATATATTACTATCTATCTGTCTATAGGTAATATTTTCCACCAAGTAATTGTTTTTAATGGTAGTATTTTATTTGATGTTGTTGTTATTGTTGTTTTAAATAAACTCTACAACCAACGTGGATCTCAAACTCATGACTCTGAGATCAAGAGTCAGATGCTCTAAGGACTGAGCCAGCCAGGCACAACTGGTAGTTTTGAACAAAAATCTAATTACTCCTCCCCTGTTCAAAACACTTACTAGTTAAGGAAAGATAAGTAGGGAGAGGAACATCAATTCAAACTGTGAAAGACAAAATTCCAAAAAACTAAAAATTTAAATAAATGCCGCTTCCTTACTCTCAGGCTTGTACACCCACCCGAACTCATCTAACAAAATATTACCAGATGTCCCAACTAGATGTTCATAATGAAAGGCTGATTTAACAAATCACTAAAAATAGGCCAAATTATAAATTGTTTAGGTGTAAATAAGTTCTTCTGATATCCCTCTGCTGCCCTGTTTCCATTAGGTAAGTGTTAAGCAAATCTCTTTCCTGGGGGTGGTCCAGCAGTAAAACAGCCGGATCTGATTTATCACAAACTAGTCAAGTCCTAATTAAAGAGATTCACTGTGTTTTAGAAAAATGTTCATTTACTTGAAATACTTTTTTTTCTCCTCTCAAATGTAATCCACAGCAAGGAATGTAGTCTTATTTACCAAGAGCAAGCTGCAAGCAGTGTGGGAAGGAGAGGCATTAACCCTTCTCTGCAAGGCAGATGGAGCTGAGAGTCTCTTGTCCGTGGAATGGTGGCACTTCCCACAAGGCCGGACGCAGCAGGAGTTTGTGGCTGGCATGCGACAGGATGGCACCGTGCAGCTGGGTGCCTCTTCCAAGGGCCACGCAAGGCTGGAGAAAATAGACTGGGCCACATTCCAGCTAGAGATCAGCTCCACCACCATCACAGACAGTGGTGTGTATGAGTGCAGGGTGTCTGAGGGCACCCAGAACCCGGCCAGAGATTGGAGCTGGACTCAGAAATTGGCAGTCACTGTCAAATCTCTGGGTAGGTGTCAAAGAAATCCTATTCTAAACTTGCATATCATTGGAACCTTCCTTTGCAGTGGGATGCAGTGGAATTTGATTGTGTGTCATCATGAAACCCCGAGTTGTGGCGTGTACACTCCAGGACACAGGGCACAGTCTCTGGCTGCTGCATCTGTCAACTAATCTCTAAAGTTTACTTACCTTGATAAGGATCATCTGTAGGGTGCCACTTGTAGGTGTTATTCAAAGCTGAACACAAAAGCCTCTGACTTGAAGTAGATTTAGAGAGGACCTGTGCCCAGTGCCCCTGAGCCTCTTATATCTGGGCTTCTGTAGCTGCAGCCCTGAGACTGCAAAGTCTCTTTGAGCCTATGCAAAAGAGCGACACTGAGCCCATGAGTAGAATTGGGGGGGGGGGCAGCCACAGAGGTGACGAGTGCCCCACCCACTCAGTAGTAGCTGCCTAAGCAGCAGGCTGGGGATACAGAGCCTGTTTGTTGTCATTGCTGAGGATGCTCTTAGAAGAGGATCAACTTTGAAAAATTGAGGGCCGGGATGCCTGGGTGGTTCAGCAGTTGAGTGTCTGCCTTTGGCTCAGGGCGTGATCCCAGGGTCCTGGAATCAAGTCTCACATCGGGCTCCCCACAGGGAGCCTGCTTCTCCCTCTGCCTATGTCTCTGCCTCTCTCTGTGTCTCTCATGAATAAATAAGTAAAATCTTTTTTTAAAAAAAAAAGAAAAATTAGAGACAGAATTCAGGACAGATTGGACTGTGAGTCAACTTATACCCCCAAATATCTGATGTTCCCAATGCATGGTTCTATGTTGAAGAGGGGGTGAGTAGGAAAACTTAGACCCGATAAACATATTGGAAATTGTCTTTCCCACTTTTTTCTGCCCCCAGAGTCGAGTTTACGGGTTAAGTTGATGAGCCGTCAACCCCAAGTGGAATTAGCCCACACCTTTGGCCTGTCCTGCATAGTGGAGGCTGACTACCCCAACCTCGGGATGCTCCTCACTGTGACGTGGCAGTTCCAGCCTGCGACATCTCAAGTCTTTCATCCACTAGTTCGAATCACCCATAATGGCACTATTGAGTGGGAGGATTTCCTATCTCAGTTCCAAAAGAAGACAAAGGTTCTGCAGTCATCATTTCATTCCCAACTCCTAGTCCATGATGCCACCGAGGAGGAAGCAGGAGTTTATCAGTGTCAAGTAGAAGTCTACGTCAGAAATTCCCTCTGCACAGGCAGCCCCGCAAGGGCTTCTGCTATCTCTCACTCACTGATGATAGCCGTCAGTTTACCAGGTAAACACCACTTGAAATTAATAGCTGCTTTCGAAAACAAACACATGTCTCTTTGGGTCAGTTATAGAATTAAAACAGAAAATATCTCCCCCCCACCACCACCACCACCATGTTTTATAGTGTGTATATGTAAAACCACTATCCAGGCTGACATGAAGTTACTGTGCTTGGGAGGGCCATCCTGGTTATTAAAACACTGACCTCCTTCCACACCGACTACTAATAACTTGCTCCATGCCCCTTCCCCCTAGTCTCCATAAGTCCCACCATCCAGCAACTGAAAGTACCATGTGGCACAACAGGGGGCTTCTCAGGCCAGTTTTGGTGGGGAGGGAGGCATTCTTTTGGATTGGTCACTGTCTGTGCCTTACTGCCTTACCAGTCATTAAATGTTTGGAACATCTCCCCTAGTGGTATGGATAATGTAAATTCCATTAAAATACATTTATCCTCTTGGTTTAATGTGTTAATGTATAAGAGAGTACAGGATCATAGTCAAATATAATTTACATCATCGGTTAGTGAAAGAGCAGAGGTGAAAAAAAAAAAAAACAAGACACAACCTGGTCAAAGTCCTGCTGGCTCATGTATCTTCTTTTATCACTTCCGTTCTCTTAAGACACAGTGTTCAAGAGCCTTTGAAGTCATTTCCACCTGACAGGCACCAGCGAGCAGCTTAGCTTTGGGCAAGTCACTCAATCTGGTCAACTCTAGGTACTTCTCCCTAAACTGCCACTGGCACTGTAAAGGTGGTGACATATGTAATGTGCCTAGGACAGTACCTGATGCATCCAGTGGATGCTCGGCCATGGTAGCAGCCATTATTCTCTCTGCTGCTGAGCAACACTTTTGGTAAAAGTAATGATGTCCATGTTGATTAACTTATGCCCTCATTGCCTTGTCCTTCTCTTGGTATTTGAAATTGGTGACCCAATCTTTTCTTCTTAAAACTTCCCTTTTCCTTGGCCTCAGGACACAAGATTATATTGGTTTCCTTCCTAACACTCTAACTGCCCCTTCTCATTCCCTTTTGCAGAATTCTCCTCCTTCACAGATCCATTCCTTTGTGTTTCAGGCTCAGCTTGCTCTCTCCTAATTCTGTACAGTCTCCTGAAGTGGGCTTATTCCTCCTCCTGGTTCTGCCTATATACTGACCACTCTTAAATCCATTATCCTGAAAGGCTTCTCTTCTGATCTCCAGACTCGCTATGCAATTGCCTCCAAGGCAGAGCTACACTCACTAAGTCTGGGTGTAAATGCACCATTCTTATCCTTCCTTTTTGTTTTTTTTTAAGAATTTATTTATTTATTTATGAGAGACACAGAGAGAGGGGCAAGCAGAGACATAGGCAGAGGGATAAGCAGGCTCCGTGCAGGGAGCCCAATGTGGGACTCGATCCTGGGTCTCCAGGATCACGCCCTGGGCTGAAGGCAGATGCTCAACTGCTGAGCCACCCAAACATCCCCATTCTTATCCTTCCAAAGCTCCTCCGCCTACAATGTTCTCCACGTCCTCACAATCACCAGTGGCCTAGGTGAGAAACCACAAGGCCTCCATATCCAGCTCATCCACACTCCCATAGCATGACCTGCAAGATCCTTTATAACCTGGTATATTTGTGTCTTTCCAGCATCTTCTACTTTCCATCTTGAATTTGCACTCCATCCACACTGACCTATACTTGCAGGCCTTCAAACACTCTATGTTCTCTCCCACTTTCAGTCTTCAGTTCAAGTCATATGTTTTGTGTGGAACTCTAACCTCTCCTCCACCAGACTAATTCTTATTAACCCTTAAGACTTAGCTTAGAGATTTCTGCTCTAGGAAGCCTCCTCATCCCCATCTTTGAGTTAGGCAGTTCTGCTCTGTGCTCGGACGGCCACTTCTGCATACCTCTGTCAAACTTGGAATCAGTAAGCCTCTGTGCCTGTATTAGTCTCCCCCTCTAGACTGTGAGCCCACTGTTGAAGGTATCCACAGGGCAGGGAATGCTCTGGCACATAACACAGTGTGTGCTTGATAAGTATTTGTTGGAAGAAGAGGAAAGAGACCCACTGGCAACTTTAAGAAGCTTCTACAAAAGTAGAATCAGGGATGTCAGCAAGAAGTTAGAATAAGCTTTAGAAGGCAGGTTATAGCATTCATCCTCCTGCCAGAGCAGAAAATCTGCTGGAGTAAAAGGAGGGTTGACTCTATACCTGTATGAGATTCCCACAATTGACTGGCTGCAAAGAGACATACAACTTTAATAGCCCACGTATAGCTTCCTTTTGTTTACCTGTGTTTGAAGGCAGATACAAACAAGGACATGTCAAAGAATTGTGAATCAAGGAGTGTTCTAGAGAGTGAGCACACGACAAAGCATTAACAAGGCCACTTTTTCTCACTTTGATTTATGAAATGCAACAGAAGAGAAGATGTCTGTGCTTCGAGAGTGAGGCATTATCATGTGGAAGAGATTCGTTTTCTGTATGGCACTCCATCCTACCCCACATTCCCTATCCCACTCCTATGGGTAAGGGTAGAACCAGTTCCAGTGCCTGGAAGATATGGAGTGGTAAAATTCAAGTTGTTGTCAGAAAGAATTCTCTAGTGGCAGTGATGTCCAAAGATGAAATGGGCTGCTTTGTCAGTTGGTGAGCTGTTCAGAAGCTTGACGGGCAGATAGTGGGTTGCTGGGGAGGGAATTTCCACATCCAATGGACGTAGGAGGCATTGCCCTCATTGACCTCTAATGTCCCTTCTACCTTAAAATTCTGTTTTTTAATGAAGTAACAAAAGTCACTGTCACCATTCTTTTATATATATATATATATATATATATATAGATATAGATATAGATATATAGATATATATATTTACCATTCTTTTAATTTAGAGAGCAAGCTACAAGTGAACTCAAGTAGTCAAGTCCAAGAGATCTCCATTACCTCCAACACTGTCATAGAATGTGGCATCTTGTCCCGGTCTGCTGGAGACCTTCAGTTAGCCATCGTTTGGTACTTCTCTCCCAGTTCCGCTAACACAACCTGGCTGAGGATCCTGCAGATGGACCAGACCAGTGTTGTAAAATATGGGGATGAATTTCACACCCCAAGGAGAAAACAAAAATTCTACCCTGAGAAAGTTTCCCAAGACTTGTTTCAGCTACACATTTTGAACATGGAAGACAGTGATCAAGGCAAATACCTCTGTGCTGTGGAGGAGTGGCTCTTGTCTACAAATGGAACTTGGCACAAGCTTGGAGAAAAGAAGTCTGGTCTGACAGAACTGAAACTCAGGCCCACAGGTAAACCTGGCGAGTATATTCTCACACATCTTTCTATAAGATTGCCATGGCCATCTTCTCTTAGGCAGGTCTTCTCTGCTGTGGTTATGTGAAGGTAGAACTATGACCCAAGGTCATAGGAATGGTGTCCACCTACCCAAAGAATGTAGGACCTGGTTGGTCAGCAGAAGAGGCGGGAGTCACTTAAGGTGAATCAATCTGAGGCTTTAAGGAGCTTGGATGGGAACAAGATCTCTTTGATTGGTTTGCTTTTCAGCCTGGCAGCCTGGTCTATGGAGCTACCCAGGGTGTCGTATCTCTAGATCTCTGTAATAACAAGCTATGTCATTCCAGTGGGGCTCTACTGTAATTTGGCAAAGAAAGAGTAATACGAAGCATATTTCTCCCACTGTGAACAGAAACTGTACAACTCTATAGGGATGTGTGGAGAAATTGCTTTTCAACATTTGGCTTCCTAAACATAAGGCGAATAAGAGTAGTTAACTGTTGGAATGGCTTACTGAGGGAGTCTCCACTTCCTCAGGAGATCTTTAAAAATGTAATAGAAGTTCCATCCATTTGCATTGGTCTAGGTGTACTGTGGTCTCAATGTGGGCAGGGTTGATTAGATCTCTCTGTATTAGGTCACCTCCGATGTTGATGAGAATTAAGTGAATGTCACAGCTAAGGTTGGGGAACTGGCTGAGATCCAACAGTACAATGCAAATAAGTTAATCTAGTTTAGCGCTTAAAATTTTATTTTCAATGTAGCATGCGAAAATAAGATTATTATAATGAACATTGCTATGTATTAGACAATTAGAGATACAAAGAGAAATAAGGCACAGCTCTTGCCTTAAGGAGCTTACAATCTGTTGGGGGCGGCAGAGCAAAACAATAGTTTAGCATAGGGATCTCTCTTTCTGCTGCTCTGGTTCCCTTCTCCACATTCTTCAGGCCTTTCTCCCTGCTAAACATGGATGTTCCTCAGGGGCAGATTGTGGGCCCCTTTGTCTTGTTATTCTCTGCTCTTTTCAGGATTTCTTAAACACCACCTTGGTTTCAACTACCACCTTCAATGAAATAGTTCTTTATACTTCACCCCTGTCTCCTGAGCTCCAGGTCTTTCTTCTCAACTGCCTGTTGTACATTTCTGTTTGGATGCCCCCAAGACCCTCACGCTCAGCATGGTCCCAAATTGCATTATCATCCTTGCCATCCCCCAAGACCCCTCCATACTTTTGCACTCTCTGTCTGTGGCTGGCAGCCTTTTCTCCCAGTTGGCCAAGCCAAAACTTGACAGTATATGCACACCCCTGTAAGGAAGCAGCCACTCCTTAGCTCAAGCTAGCAAGTACTTCCCACCCAGAAATGTGAGCTCAGTGATGTCTGAACTTTTAGTCTACCAAGAAGTGCTTAAAATCTTTTTTTGTGACATCACTTAATTTGAGAACGTATGCAAATAATCCATCTTCTTTTCAAATTCTGAGGGTTTCAAGCAAAATAGATCTGTGGGTGGGGTATGGCTGTCTGGAGGTGGTCAGCTGTGTACCCCAGTGTAGAGAGTGAGTTAAGGAAGAGGCCCCAGAGAGAGATACCAAGAAGGAGTGGTCAGAATTGTAGGAGAGGCATTTTCTCTGACATCAAAAATGAAGAGGATTTCAAGAAGAAAATGGACTTTAGTGATACAACCTGCAGAGAAGACAACAAAACTAGAGAGTCTCAAGCTGGGAATTGGGCCCATCCTGAGGATCTTGACCAGAGCATGGGGATGGAATTGGAAGGCTGATTGCAGTAGAGTTGGGAGGAATTTGAGATGAGGAAACAGAGACAGTATCATATAAACTAACCTTACACATAATTTACCATGAAGGGAAGGAGAGAGTAAAAGTGGTAACAACAAGAACAAAATCCAGGATCAGACAAAGTTATTCTCTTAAGGATAGATTAATAAAGGTGTTCGCAGTAGAGTTGAAAATTTAGCGTATACTATAATTTCTTTATTTTGTTAGTAACTACCCTTGCTTTCATTCAAAATTCTCACCTGCTGGTTAGGAGGGGAGATTTTTAAAAAGTAAATGTCAAACTCTGTTTAAAACTTAGTCTAATCCCATAGTTTAAATAGTCTCTCCTTGAGTGTATCCTAACACTTGTGTAAAATGTTCAGTCTCTCAGTAGCCTCCTCTTTCCCTGTGTCTCGAACTGAGATATCTGGGTATATGGGAGGAAGGTAATTTGCTAAGAATGAGGGGCAATAGTTTAATACACAACCTGAGGGAAGACCAGAAGTTTTGAATGATCCCTCTGGGAAGTTGAAGGAAGAGTTGACCAGGGAGAGGTAAAGCAGCAGGGCAGAGCACCCACTGAAGCTGGGTGGTTTTGAGGGCAGGTTTGTGGGAGACAAGAGGTAGGGCTGAAGAAGGAAAATGGATGGTTTGATTCATAGCACAGAATATTCTAGCAAATATGGAAGAAGGACAGGGGTCAAGGAAAAATGTTAAAGATGGAAGATCTGACATCTAAAGATTTTAAGATGGCATCTCCTCAGTGAAGACTAGATTTTTCGGAGGAGGTATCCAATCTAAAATCTAGATTTTTCTCTAATTTACTGCCATTTTATTTCCTAGGAAGTAAGATCCGTGTCTCCAAAGTGTACTGGCCGGGAAATGCTACTGAGCACAGAGAGGTGGCCATCCACTGCAGCATGGAGAGTTTTGGCAGTTTAGCTTCCCTGTTCTCTGTCACGTGGTACCGGAACAGAGAAAATTCTGGAAGGAAGATGCTGGTGCATCTGCAGCATGATGGCTTGCTGGAGTATGGTGAAGAGGGACTCAGGCAGCATCTATACTGTTACCGTTCATCCCCTACAGACTTTGTCCTGAAGCTTCATCGGGTAGAGATGGAGGATGCTGGACTATACTGGTGCAGGGTGACAGAATGGCAGCTACATGGCAACCCAAGCAAGTGGGTCAACCAAGCATCAGAGGAGTCGCAGCACGTGGTACTCACGGTACTGCCTTCAGGTAACGAGGGGTTAATCTGCCATGGCTCATGGTCAGGAGAATCTTGGTCTCTCCTCTTGTGCTTTCCCTCTCAGCTATGTTTTGCTGAAAACAATTCACAACCTAAAGAAAGTGACTTTGCCGTTTCTCTATTGAGAGAAATTTCTCTCTCTCTCTCTCTCTCTCTCTCTCTCTCTTTCAATAGAGAGAGAAATTACTCTGTTGAGAGTGATTTCCGTTTCTCATTAGGACAGACAAGGTCTATGTGAGATTTTGGCATAGACATTTAAATGTCAGGGGCTTCTGACCTTCTTCCCCCGCCCTTCCCCTCCTAAGCAAAAAAGCCATCAACATTGCATCCCTTTAAATAACAAAATAATGTTCAAAGCAGCATCCTTACCCCTGGGCTGATTCTCCAGTCTCAGAATACTTCAGAATGAGGGATGGGGGACCGGTGACTTTAAGGTCCATGTGGTTGAACCAGAGTCAACTACACCTAAATGTTCCCCATCTCAAAAACAAAACCTTTCCCCATGAATAAGTGCCAAGCTTCTTATCTCTCTATTATGTTCAGCAAATCAGCAGGACTTTGATCATGATAGTCATTTGGTGTGCCTCTCCTACTGGCAGCTTGCAAAGCATCAAAGGGAGGAGTGTGCCCAGTAGAACTCGTTTACAGGGTCCTGCAAGGAGGGTAGCTACTTAAAGACCTTGGCTAAAGAGTGGCCATTCCCTGTGTGGGAAGACCATCCTGCTCAGCTGAGTACGCAGCTACAGGAGGGATGTGAAACAAGTGGTTGTGAAGGAAAGGAGAGCATCCTTACAGCCAATACAGTGCCAAGAATGTACCAGGCATTCATTAAGCATTTGTTAATGAAGGCAAAAATTTCTCTAGCCAAACCAGTAAATCTTCCCTGGTGATCAGTGTGCTACGCTGGCTGATGTTGTAGCCAGCTCATCTCTGAGTCTCTCCTTTCTGGTGCACTGAAGGAGAGGGTGAGAGGTGCAAAATAAGCTGAACTTACACTGGAAGGGGATGCTGGAGACGCAGAGGTGTGGTCTGGGTGCCCCACACCAGGAAGGGGAGAAAGGATCAATGAAGGATAACATTCCTAAAACACCAGCTAGCTTCGGTGATACTCCTTCGTGGACGTAAGGGGGAGGGTGCTGCCGGGAATGGGTGGCAACTTCTCTGATGTAGGGTTAGTTGCATCCCAACCCCAGCCAGGCTTCTAGAGTGAAAGTCAGAGTTATCGGATTTTTTCCCTAGGGCCCTGACCATTCTTCAGCAGAAGGTTTCTCCCAAGTGTCCAGAGAGAATTTTTCTTCATATCAGCTTTCCTTCTATTCTGACAATAACGTGAGGTCCCACAACCCTGAACACATTCCATGCATGTTTTCTCACTGGAATTCCTGGGTTCTGTGGAATCAGCAATTTTTGTGGTAGAATAAATAGATAATACATGTTTTAAAAAGTATATATCCTGTGAATAAAAAGCACATCTCCTCTGAGACAGGTAGGATCCTTCACAGCATATCTATACTGTTCATCTTTGTGGAATCCTTATAAACCAGGTGAAAGGTTTTAAAAAAGATAAACTCTGGAAACAAAACATTAAGAATTCAGTGGTCTTTGTATTCTTTACAGTTGAAGAAGCTTGAAAGCCTGTGCCATGATAAGCTGAGGGTTTTCATTATAAACACAGTTAAGGAATCCCAGGTAAATCCTCCATCGTAGCATCTCACTTCCTTTACCTGGGTACTCCTTCCTGGTAGTTGTGGAGTTATGGAGGCCATGTGGGGGATGAGAAAAAATCCCAGGGTTTGGAATCAGACAAGCCTAGGCTCAAGTTCTAGCCCTGCCACCTCCTTACAAGCTTTGAAATTATACCCTGGTCACTTAACTTCTGTGAACCTCAACTCACTCTTAAAATGAGGATCATAATACAAGTGTGTATAAAGTATCTAGCATAGTCCCTAGAATATTATAAGTGCTCAAGAAATGTGAACTCTCTTCCCCCTTAAACCTCCAAATATGCGTGTGCACACCTATATTTGTATACTTATAGATATATCCATGCATGTGACAAAATACTTTATGTTGTTCAACAAGTAACTATGTGAGGATCTAAGAACATAAAAACATGTATTACAGAGTCTTTTCTCAAAGAGCTCAGATTCTGATGGGAGACAGGAAGTCCAAAACGGTAGGTATCATCAAAGAAGTAGCCTCAGGATGCAGCAGGAGGAGCAGAGACCGGGCTGGGATAAAGGGCAGAGTGGAGAGGAGATCTGGGAAGTTCTCCAGAGTATGGGGCCTATGAAAAGGAAGAGAACATATTTCAGGAAGAGGAAAGACTATTGAGATGATCAGAAAAGCTGTGGTGCAAGAACGAGAGATGAAGTTAGTGAAATGAGGAGGGTACGGATGTCAAAAGTATCCTGCATGCATAGCTAAGGATGGCGATCTGATTCATGAACGTTATGGAGTGTCAGCAAACAAGTTCAAGCAGGGGAGTGACATCATGAGATCTGCACTTAGAAAGCTCCCACTGGGAGCTTGTTAATGATGAATTGGTAGGGAGTCAGAGAAGGGAGAACTATCTGAAATTGATAATAGGAACCCAGGTGAGACAAGATGAAGACCTGAATTAAGGCAGTGCATGTGAGGACTGAGAGAACAGGAGGCATTCAGTGTTAGGAGGCATCATCTCCAGATTTAGACACTGATTAGATGTATGTGGAGGGTGCAGGAGCAGAACGGGGGGAATCAAAGATGAACATCAAATTTCTAGCATGGGTGGATAGTGGGGCACTCACTAAATGAGGTAATATAGGGGAAAGGTCTGAAGAGGAAATTGGTTGAAATTTGAATAAGCTGGACTGGAATTGAGTTTGGAGTATGTGGGAATTATCCAGAGAGGTCTACTCATAGACCTGGAGACTTCCAAGTGAGATCTTTGCCAGAGTTGTAGATTAGAAGGTATCAGGTTATAGGCAGTAATGGTGCCCAATGATGGATTCCTGAGATATACCACTGTTGATCAGGGGAGTGCAGAAGAAGAGCCTGTGAAGGGGAATGAAAGGAGTAGCCAGGAGGAAGTGGGAGGAGGAAAACCCAGGGTTTAGTAGTATCATAGAAACCAAAGGCAGAGAGGGTATCAAAAGGGAAGGGGAAGCAAACAGGCTCAACTATTGCAAAGAAGTCAATCAGGATAAGAATGGGAAAATATCCAGTGGATTTCACACTGTAGGGCAATTGCAGACAAGCAATGAGAAAAGTCAGACCGCAGTGAGAAAGTAGACATATCAAATACAGATTACGCTTTCAAGAGCTTTGAGGTAAAGACAAGAGAGAAAATAAATGGCAAGAAGGGTCAGTGAAGTTTTGCTTTGTTCTGTTTTTGGTTTGGAGCTGGTATATGTTTGGAGCATGGTTACATTCTGGAGGGGAGAGAGGCAGAGGAGAGGACAAGCAGGAAGATTAGGGGAAGGTAGAACAGCAGTCCAACACCTTGCATCAATATATATCACCTCCTGTCTGGAAAGTTCCTTCATGTCATCCTTCTCTGGTCAATGTCTATGAATCTTTCACCTCCCAAATTAACTACCGCCGTCTCAGTGACTGACCTTATTCTCTTAGTCATCACACCTAACATCCATCAGCACAGCCAGACTGTACATTCTGAGAAGGCAAAGACTGAGTGTCTCACTCCCAGCGCAGCACCGTGCCTGGCACATAGAGATGTTCAAGGACTTACTGAATCACAGCATAGTCGCACTTCTCATAAGGACCTGCTCCATGTATTAATAAAGTCTGGGTCAAATATAACATGCTACCAATTCTCACTTCTCCAGTGGTTTTCCACCACCTGTATGTGGCACTTTCAGGTTGGGCTAGTTTTGGACTACCTAATACACCTGTGGAGCATGTGGCTCAAGTGAAGGCAGAAAAGTTAAGAGGAATGTCCCAGGGGTGGGGGTGGGGGTTGGACCTTGCATTTTCTTCTCCATCTTACTTCCTTATCTGTGACTATGCCGAGGTAGGGGCCAGAGATACCTTAGTCTTCTACCTCACCTTCAGAGCCCAGACATAAATGTCTTATTCTAGAGAATTCTCTGTGATTCATTAATAGGCAAGACTATAAGGCTTCCTGGGGCCTGGATTAGTTGTAATAATATGGTGCTTATTACTATTCCCCAGCTTCTATTTGGGTAAGGATGTACTTAGAAAGTGAACCTTCAAGGGAGATATGTGTCCCTATCACTGAAGTTTCTGGAGAGACGATAGAACTTATCTCCAGCAAAGTCTGGCACGTAGTACATAACAAATGCTTGATGAGAGAATGAGTAAGAGAGTCTTCAGTTGAAACAGGATGCTGACAGGCATTACTCATTCTGGGATGTACTCCTATCAGGTTACCTACCCCTACTTTAAATTTCTGGGCAGGAGCCAAGTCTCTCACATGGCCACACTTGGCATAGTCTGTTGCCAAAGTTTTGGTGGGGGTGGAGGAGGAGTCGGTAGCCCCCTTATTATCCTGTATCTTTCTTCTGCTGAGGTCAGTGTTTCTGAGGTAATATCAAAAAGGAATGCTCCTCGTGGTGTGTTTGGCTGTGGGTGGAAGCAAGTTATAAACTAAACCTTGTGATGAAGTGTTCTCATTACATTTTTGGCTCTGTCTTGCAGACCTTGTACTTTGAGCATTGGGCACTTACTCGGATTGATTCAAAATGCCAAACCTTAATGGTTTTGAATGTCACTAATTCTAATCCAGATATGGGTGAGAGGCAGATGGTGGGAAATGGTGATCGTGGGATCCAGAGCAAACACTGCCCTCCCAGGAGAGGTAATTTAGAAGCACTGGAGCTGACAGTTGCTAGCTGTTGGCCAATTCAGGCCTGTGAAGAGCGCACTTTGCCATCCTTTGATGGCAGATTACTCCAAACAGAGCTGCCTCCTCCCCATTAAGATAGTCCAACTCTCTGACAGTCCTTTTGTGCTGAAGGTAAGAGTCTCAATGGCAAAAAAAGCCAAGTACCAGATTACTTTCCACCTTCTGTGTGCCTGCCCCATCTCCTCATTATCACACCATCATCAAACAATGGTGAGACTGAAGTGGACTCTCACCTTTCAGTTTTCTGCCACCCATGACTGGGAAGGGAAGTCAGAGTCTCCTACTAAGTAGTCATTTGACTGATCTCAGTGGATTGTCACCCAGTTGTGGCAACAGAGGGACCAGAGATTTAAGGGGGAATCTTGGCTTGTGGAAGAACATGGCCAAGCATATGGCCCCTGTGTGGGGAATCAGCTGGTTCAGCCATGTTGTCCGTCCCATCTCTTGAGAGAAAGTTGCCTAGGATTTTCCTAACTTGCTTGCTAGCATTCCAACTAATATTTATTTCTTGCTGACTCAACAAATGCACTGGGCACTGTTAAATATTATACATTGTCTCATCACAACTCTAGAAATTATTATCCTCATTTATTAATGAAGAAACTAATCATTATGGAGGATAAGGACTGGTCCAATGTCAACAACAGTAAGTTGAAGAGCCCAGTGTGAACCCAGCTCTCTTCAAGATGGTAGTCAATCACTATTGTGCATATGAGGAGTGTGAAGTGTCAAAGCCAGTACTCTTACCCACCATTCCCTACAGCTTCGTCCTCTTTCCGCATCACCATCTATACCTCCTTCTTATCTACATGCCTTCAAATATATTCAGATAAGAGTTGGGAGACTTATTGTAGTCAAGCAGGACTTGGAAAGAGGTTGTCGGGTAGGATATGGAGAGAGAGGGTGGTAAAGAATTAAAGTCTAGCTTTACCTTTGCCCACCATTTCAAGAACAAAAACCAAATTTCAGCTGGAGAATATAAATGAGACCAGAGAAAATCCAGGCCACAAACCCCTGAAGCACTTTGTGAGTCCTGTTCAGAGCTGCCAGCCTAATGTTCAGGGATGATCTTTACTCTGCTCAGTGATGATGGCAGCCACCCCTGGGTTCCTGTGGGTGGGTTTCAACTAATTCCTTCATCAGTTTCCACTGATGACCTATGGACAAAGTGCTAGATAAGATAAAAAGATGTGTAAGGCATTGTCCTTCAGGAGTTCACAATGTGGGAGTTGGACAAATGTTTAGATTCTTCCTTGACTTTAGCAAAGATATATTCTTCAAGGTGCAAGATGCATCAGCAATGCCCAAAATGGACTTCTTGCAGCCGAGGTTGGTGGAAATGACCTCTAAAGCTGTTTACATCTCTAAGAGTCTATAATCTCATGAAGCCCATAGCTTAACCTCTGAAGAAGAAATTGCTTATGGCATTACAATTTTCCAATAAAATCACAGCTCCTATTAGCATCTGATTTTTCAAAAGAGCCTGGGTTTCAACTATCCTGTCCTAAGTACCTGTAGTTGGAAGACTACATTTAGTTGTTGGCATTGCTCAAAGCATGTGTCTTTCTGCACAAAGAGTCTATAAACCCGGTCCTTTGACTTGTGAGTCTGGGTGCTGCTTCCTAGCTGTGGTGTTGGCAGTCCTGTCCCTTTGCTTCCCTGTCCCCATGCTGGGGAACCGCTCTGGGGAACCGCTCTGTGTGCTTGGCATGTCTGTGTGCTGACGGTGCTTCCCCACGGGCTGCAGCTGCCTGACGGTCATGTGCCCCAGTTTGCCTTTATATGGTATCCTCTGCCCATGTGGTTGCAGTCAGTCCGATTCACTTCAGATAGGCAGAAGTTGTCACGCACGTGTGCAGGGCACTGCAGGGGCCACGGAAACACACGACACTGTCAGGCATACTCAGGCACCTGTGATGAAACGAAGGAGATGGGTCAGGGGGAACAGAAGAGGTCTACACCCAGGGACATGTGAAGAGAGGCTCTGGGAAGACTGTGCCTGAGGCAGGTGGGATGACCTTGGGGAGGAAGTGTCTTCTGAGCCGGGTCAGAGGGACCCAGGGGATTAGGGTACAGAGAGTGTGCCTGTTGGAGGCCATGGTATGAGCAACTCAGGAAAGGAGCCCAAAGGTGGGGAGGAGACCCATCTGGAGTGTCAGGAGGGGATGGAGCTGCTCACTGTGGGTGCGTGTGTTTGTGTGTGTGTGTGTGTGTGTGTGTGAGTTGCATGAGTGCACGCGCACTTAAGCAGCTGTGGGAATCATCCCATTAACAATTCAGGACCCGCAGCCGAGTTGAGAACGAGGGTTGAATTCTAGATCTCTTTTCTGAAGAGAGCAGATTAAAGGAGAGGTTTGCTTTTTTTTGTTTTTTTCTCTCTCGTGGCTGTTGGTTTTAAGTAGGTCACGGGAACCCCAGTGGTTGGAAAGGGCTGGGTGAGGGCAGCCGAGGCTGGAACAGCGGCATGCTGGACTTCTGTTGGCCCCACTGCTTCCCCCTTTCTGCCCACGTGTGATTTAAAGTGCCCCCCTCCAGCTCTGCTCTCTGGCCCCCAAGGATGTTACCTGTATCGGCCTGTATCAGTACCCACCTCACCCCCCCACCCCCGCAAGGTGTTTATCCGTTGATCAGGGCAGGTGAGCTGGAGACTCATTATCTTCTTTGTTCTCCTTTCCTTTGCAGAGCCCACATTTCCTTCCAGGGTCTGCTCCTCAACATCTTTACTCTATTTCCTCTGCGTCTGCCCCTGCGTTCTGTTCATTCTTCTGCTCATTTCCCTCCTCTGCGTGCACCAAAAGGCCCGGAAGTTGTCAGCGCTGAGCCTAAAAGCGCAGCAAGAGAAGTCTCTCTGGGTGAGCCTGAAAGGGCCTGGAGACTGGACAACCAACCGGAGGGAAGAGGAAGACAATTGAATCCGGAGAGCTGCCTGCAGCCCTGGGGAAGGTGCGGGCTTTGGAATTGGACTGAGCGGTGGCAGGTGAATGGATCCTGATTGGGTTCTTCTTGGTGTCTGTGGCCTTGGGCAAGTTACCTAGGAATCAGGGGGAATGTTTACTGGACAAGTACCCGGGGCCCCACACCCCTGACTGTTTCTTTGTGTGTTACCCTCATCTACCCCTGGCATCCTCCCAGGAGCAAGATGATTTATCCTGTTTTTCATTTGCCCACAGAGGTTCCGGCTCCCTGTCTGTAGGGGAACAACCTCCCTCCCACAGCCTCTTGGGGTGAGGGTGCTCTCTCCTCTCTCCTCTCTTCTGTCACTGATTCCTGGGAAAGCTCTCCGAGTGGTCCAGTCACACTGGCTCTAGGTCATCTTTTGCCCCCCAATAAGAGGCTCAGGAAGGGGCCTGATGTCAGCGAGGCAAAAAGGAATTGGAGATATGCCCTTCATTCACATCAGATCTTTCTCCCAACGCGAGTGTGACTTCCTTCAAAGCAGAAATCTTGCCTTTCCCTCCTCCCATCTATAAGTGCTTCTCAAGAATAAGCTCTGCAGGGACGCCTGGGTGGCTCAGTGGTTGAGGGTCTGCCTTCGGCCCAGGGTGTGATCCTGGAGTCCGAGGGTCGAGTCCTACATTGGGCTCCCTGCATGGAGCCTGCTTCTCCCTCTGCCTGTGTCTCTGCCTCTCTCTCTGTGTCTTTCATGAATAAATAAATAAAAATTGTAAATAAATAAGTAAATAAATTGGAATCTCTGAGGGTGAACCCTGGGCTTTAGAATATTAAAAAAAAAAAAAAAAGAATAGACTCTGCATAGAGGATGCCTAATCAATATTGGTCCTTTGATGAAATTATAAAGCATTTTGTAGTCTGAATCCTTTCTTTCTTTTTCTTTCTTTCTTTCTTTCTTTCTTTTCTTTCTTCCTTCCTTCTTTCTTTCTTCTTTCTTCTTTCTTCTCTTCTTCCTCTTTTCTCCACTATCATTAGGTCATTGTTAAGGAGAAACTTTTTACAACAGTGCTCTAATCAGCCCCCAAGACCTCCTACCTCCCCTTTCTCCCCACACCAAAAGACCCATCTGGGTCCTGGCTCTTAGCCAATGCCTTATTTTCTTTGATGTGCCAGCATTAGGTAGTAGCACAGGGCCTTGTGGTAGTTCTTGGGGGGAGGAGGAGTAACAGTGCCCCTGCCCCCTCCTCCTCCAGCAGGAGCTCAGGGGAAGCAGTGGGTCAAGTCTGGCTCCTCAGGGCCCCCTGTTCTCAGCCACGAGAGGTCAGGGGGTCTGAGGTTGGGGAGTGTCATGGCTTAAGGCTTTCCACAATTGTCCCCCAGGATATAACAACTGTTCCCACTGGGCCTGAGATCTCCTCCTCTTTGTTTAAAAAGCTGCTCAGGCCTGGTTGTAGCCAGAATTAGAAATCAGTGCCACCTAACAGACTTGAGAAAACGCATCTATTTATTATCTACGTGACCAACAGGGTGGCTTTAAACCTGGTAATTTGCATATCCAAGGAGAGCAATTTATTTTTAATTATTTTATCAAGCACACACGTCTTCTTCAAACATAATTAGTTCCTTTGCAAGGTGAGCATTGGTGGCTATGAGAACTCCCCATGTAGACCCTGTAGGTTCCTTATGTTCATCTCCCTTTATAGGCTCATTTGAAATACTCCAAGTGTTTCCTTAAATATGTCAACACATTTGTCTCTTCTCTTTCAGGTAGGGTGGCATATTTTTTAGAAAACAAAGACTTCGGCAGCCCTGGTGGCTCAGCAGTTTAGCGCCGCCTTCGGCCCAGGGCCTGATCCTGCAGACCCAGGATCGAGTCCCAGGTCGTGTTCCCTGCATGGAGCCTGATTCTTCCTCTGCCTGTGTCTCTGCCTCTCTCTCTCTCTCTCTCTCTCTCTCTCTCTCTCTCTCTCTCTCTGTCTCTCATGAATAAATAAATAAAATCTTTAAAAAACAAACAAACAAAAAAGACTTCTTAGAATTATGTCCCCTGCCTTTTTTTTTTTTTCCAGAAACCTGTGTTTTAATTGGGATTTGAAGGGAAGGGGAGCAGAATTGAGCCCTGCCAGATAATCAGAGCAGATTCTAGTGCTGCCCTCTGCCTGAGGTACTCTTTCCCCCGACCTCTTTCCTCTCTCCTCACCTGGGTCCTACCTTTCAGCTCATAGCTCACATGCTACTTGTTGGTGTTTGAGTCCAGCATAGATATTGCACAGAGCAGACACTCAAATATCCAAGTGCCTCACCCAGAGCAGAGCATGGGAATGATTATTTCCCAGTGAGCACCTCCTCATGCCCAGAACCAGGACAGATGTGAGGGGTCCAGTGATGATTCAACCAGACACAGCTCCAGTCCCCTGGGGTCATGACTTTGTTTCTTCTGGATGCTATACTTGCATACAGCATGTTAGATGTTCTAAGGAGCTACATTGCACTATGTGGCCCATTATAAATTTTTAGGCAACTAAACCCCAAAGTCATCTTTTCTTTTTTTTGAACTGAATAAAGTTTGTTTTCACCTAAGTCAGTAGACATTTTACATGAAACTTCTTCTCTTTCCAAGTATGTACTTGTTCCATTTCACTTTCTAAAGCTTAGTGGAGAACTTGGCTTTTATTCATCGATTTAAACTTTTCCATTCTATGTCAGCACCTGGTTTTCCTTTCAGCGTCTTGTGTTTTAAAACCCCCTTGGCAACAGAACAAACCTGTCTCGGGAGTTGGCTACCTCTGGCCCACAGGCCAAATGTGGCCCACCACCTGTTTTTGAAAATATGAGTCACTGGAATACAGCCATTCCCGTTTGCCTGCATATTACCTCTGGCTGCTGTCATAATAAAACAGCAGAGGCAAGTGGTTGCCATGGAGACTGTATGCCTGGAATATTTACTATCTGGCCCTTTACAGAAAAAGTTTTCCAACCCTGCTCTGTTTCAGTGGCTAATGTTCTATTTGTCTTAGCCATGCACTGTGTTCCTGGGAAACTTGATTTGACCTATTATATCTGTATCTGTTATATACCTGATTAACTGAAGAATAATCTTAGGTCCTCCAGATTGGTGTCTAGCCCAAGCAACTGTGAAGTGCAAATCCTCTGCCACACTCCTACTAGAGATGGAAAAGTCATCACTCCAGAGGTACTCCTACTCTGTGCAGGATGAGATGATATGCAGATGAATGAGGCATGAATAGGCTGGTTTCGTTCTTTTTAGCCTTTTGAGACATGAATAGGAAAACGATTAATGTATGACAGAACATGAATGCAATGGTAGAAAGTCAAGTGCCATAATACTCTCTGACAGTTGCACAGAAATTGTTCATCATCTCAGAATTTCAGGGTACCCCCATGCCAAAGGCATTGTTATTCCTGTCCTGCAGGTAAGACATGGATGCTTAGAGGGATTGGGTTGATCCAGGATCATCCAGCCATATGTAGAAGACTAAAAGCTCTGATTTAGGTCTTCTGACAGCAAATCCTAGAGTCTTCCCACAGGAGACACTATGCTCAAACTCACAGCAATGGGAACATCTAGTGATAATATCTACCTCATGTGGTTGTTATGAGGAAGGAATCAGATACTTATATGGAGATAAGTTTTAAACCATTTCAAGTCACAAGTGAATGTTGGCATAACCAAGTCTTTTTTAGGCCTCACCTGTCTATGCACATAAATTAGCATAATCAAAAATCTTTAAAGATTTTATTTATTTGAGAGAGAATGAGAGCAGGGAGAGGGGCAGAGGGAGAAACAGATTCCCCACTGAGCACGGAGCCTGATATGGGGCTTGATCCTAGGACCCCTAGATCATGACGCTTAACTGACTGAGCCACCCAGGTGCCCAATGATAATCAAATTCTATAGACTTTCGCCCCAAGCTACTTACACAGGGTGTGGGCCATCTATAAAGCATTCTTCAAGTATTTCTGGAAATTCCATAGGATTCTGGGAATTAATATGAGTTCACAAACAAGTCCGCTCCCACATGGTCTCCTGCTGCTCTATTCAGATCTATGGGCTCCCACAACCACTGGGATTCTGGATCCTATGATGTGTCAAAGCTGGACAGTGTTCACTGGTAAGCAAGGAAAAACACCTCTCATTCTGCCCTCATATTGTACTCCGGATTGCAAACAAATCCAAAATTGCTTGTGCCCCCATATCTCCAAAGATTGTGAAAACTGGTCCTTTAACTTTTGCCGAACACTTCCTTGCTTCATAAGGTCTGGGCACCAGCCAATCTGGGCCCAGTCTGGGAGAAAGATGTCATGCTGTTTGCCTTTCCCCATGCTCAACAACTCAGAACTTGTTAGTACATATTCATCCCGGCCCCCTGTCTGTCCTGCAGTTGACTCATGCAAATTGTGCTTCCTGGGAGGCCACCCGCTCACCAGACAGGTCCAGGGAAGTTTGCATTCTCTGCAGGTTCAGCTGGGACTTCCTGTCATATTGGCTATTAATTTTTACCCCTGATTCAGTAAAGTGCTATGGCAACTGAGAAATCAGAGACCACTTCATAGAAGAGATGTTGTGTAAACGAGGCTTCAAAGTCAAGAAATATTTTCACAGGAAAAGCTGGAATAAACAGTAGTCTGGGGAGAGAAGTTGTTCCATGAAAAGCAGTTTTTAGAATAGCTTTGATTTGATATAAGTGTTAGATTTATAGAGGGGAGCGATGGGAGATATTAAATATGGAATGGTTAGAATGAGGAGCGGCAAGAGACTAGATCTTGAACATGTACAAAAACTTGGACTTTATTTGGTGGACAATGGTGTGAGCCATCGAATGCTTATTTAGCAGGGAAGGAGCAGCTCTCCTTTAGGACAGTTGACAAAGCAGCAGGATAGATGATGGGTAGGGGTTGAGTCAGGGCTGAGGCAGTACCTAGGCAAAGCAGGGCAGCTAACTTTAGGAAACAACCTCCACTTTCCTAATTTGTGTAACACGGATAAAACTAATTTAGCAAGGTTTGAGGACTGAAGCAAATTATCAAAACGTTTTTTTTTCTTTTTTTTTAAATTTTATCTATTTATTTATGACAGTCACAGAGAGAGAGAGAGAGAGAGAGGCAGTGACACAGGCAGAGGGAGAAGCAGGCTCCATGCACCGGGAGCCCAACGTGGGACTCGATCCCGGGTCTCCAGGATCGCGCTCTGGGCCAAAGGCAGGCGCCAAACCCCTGCGCCACCCGGGATCCCAAATTAGCAAAAAGTTTTAAGGATTACATCAAGCTCATAGAGGTAGCTGATGTATATTTGTTAAATACAATGGCACATGTTATGGTCTTTTTCTCCAGTTTAATAAATATTTGCTAACCTAATTTTCTATTGATAAGTGTAGAGGTAAGAGAGTTCTGTCTTTTCAGGATCCCTGGGTGGCTCAGTGGTTTAGTGCCTGCCTTTGGCCCAGGGCGTGATCCTGGAGTCCTGGGATCAAGTCCCGCGTTGGGCTCCCGGCTTCTCCCTCTGCCTGTGTCTCTGCCTCTCTCTCTCTCTCTCTCTCTCTCTCTCTCTGTCTATCATAAATAAATAAAATCTTTAAAAAAAAGAGAGAGAGAGAGAGAGTTCTGTCTTTTCACTTAGCTGGCTTTCCATTTGCCTTATCCTTTTTTTTAAAGTAATCTCTACACCCAGTGTGGGGTACGAACTCACAACCCCAAAATCAAGAGT